GAAGTATATTGTGTAGACACTTGTATCTTCTGGATGATGGCTTACGTAGTTCGCCAAGGTTCCGCTCCATACAGAGTAACTGTCTTGATATTTGTATCGAAAATTGTGACTTTGGTGTTGGTTTACAGTTATTTTGGGTTCCAGATGTTCCTCAGTTGTAAATATGCTGCTCTTGCTTTACCGATTCGCGCTTTCACATCTGCATCAGATCCACCATGTTCATCAATGATTCTGACCAGATATATAAAGTTTTCTACATCTTCTAAATCTTCTTCGTCAATTGTGATTGGATTGGTGCATTCTGTGTTGTATCGGAGAATCTTGCTTTTCCCTTTGTGTATATTGAGACCTACTTCTGCTGAGGCTGCTGCTACACTGGTAGTTTTCTCCTTCGTTTGTTGTTGCGTGTGCGATAGAAGAGCTAGATCATCTGTGAAGTCTAGATCGTCCAGCTGGGTCCTAACCCGCTAAAAAACGCTAACCTGAACTCCTACATCCAAACATTATTTGATAATCTGTCCTCTCTTCTTTTTCAATAACTCGAGGAGGATTTTTTAAAATCAAAAGTGGTTGACACTCTTACTCTCTTATTAGGAAAAGTTCTTCAAACTATATTGTTCAATTTTTTTTCAAATGGGTTGTAAACGTTATAACAATTTTTTTTTAGTATGATAGTCTACTACCAATTTGTCAGTAGCTAAACCTGTACAGAAAAAATACTGTACGTGGTTCTCATGAGTTGAATGGTACCTGTTGACTCGATTAGCATGAACAAAACTGCTTACGAATGTTGGGTATGTTGACTATGGAATGCTACAGTTAATCAGAAAATAATAAACAACAGTGACAAACGGGTTATAAAATCCGTGAACTGACATTGATTAAGATAGCTAGTAATTGTTTTTAGTGTGCACGTCTATCTCCTACGCCAAAAGTCCTTGTTAGAAAGTATAAGAGGAGATTTTAAAAAGACTAACAATGTTTGATATAAGCATAACATAAAACCATTAAACCAATGACTAATGAATACTGATGTGTCTGTAGCTGAAGTTTTCATGATTAAGGCGGCTATGACTGCCCACTGATTCTATAACTAATGATTCTTGATGATGAATGAGTCATGAACATAAATTCTGATGTCTTAGATTCTACTTGAGCTAACCCCGTTTAGGCAAAAGTGATAATAAATAACTAAACAAAAATTAAGTTGGAAGAATTTATTTCAGACAGCCTTTCATACAGATGGATGAGGAGAGATGCGAATTGGAGGACGCGAACGTAATAAATGTATAATGTGTGACCCAGCCTTTATAAGCATGACAGAGACAGACACATAGGTATAGGATGCACATACATAAGCATGCTCAATGTTATGCGTGAGTGATTGGCAATACCACGGACATGAGTGTCAAGACAAGTAAAATGATTAGATTAATTTATCTGTCCAACGATCAGAACAAATCACGTAGGCATATGATAATAGATTTGCTACAGGAATTAAGGTTGTATAATTTGACATCAGTCATAGTGATACTGACCTAATCATAATTTCTCCTATTCGTATTCATTTTGTTCTGAATACATCGCATGTTTAAACTTAAGAAACTATTACTGTTATTCTATCCTAGTAAATTTCTTTCACTGTGAGTCAATGTACCTTTACTCCCAATTCTACATTGCTCATTAAAAAATAATGGTAGTTTAAAAGAATTGCTTATCATTTTACAGAACTAAATGTAGAATAATCTTATCAGAAGGGATTTCGTATCAGAAAGGGATTCTATGGTGGTCTAGCTTCAATTGATTCATGATCTCAACTAGTGGGATATTTTGATCAAGTTCAATGGGTTTGTTTTAATATCTGACAGTGCTATGAGTTGAAATTATTGTCTCGTAAAATTTGTTCACCTCGTCAAATGATTTATAATTTCATTGATCTACCTAATAAATTATGGATTTTTTTGTATGTATGTGTTTATCTGATTAAGAATGAAATAATTTTAATAGTTGAGATCATGTGTCAATTGAAGATAGACTACCATAGAAAACCTGGAAGCACTAAACGGCCGTTTCGTCCTACTGTGAGACTTTCCAGAAGTACGCATCCACGATCCTACCTCACAAGATTCCAACCTAGGACCCATCAGTCTTGCACGCGAGCGCTTAACCATTAAACCACTGAGCCAGCAGGCATTTAATGGTGTTAATGTCTAACTCCAAACAATCCACGAAATTGAGCGACACATCCACCATTTTCATCAGTGAGTTACTATCTCATAACAGACCTGGTTGAACTCCACTGATCACTGCTTCTCACTGGAACTCTAGGAGATACCTCTTGAAGTCAGTCACTAGTGAGCATATGTTGATTAATATCAGATGGGATTTTGTGGGTATTATAGTAATTTTATAGTAGGATCATATTTTATAAACGCCAAAACAACACATAATTACTGAACTACTAGTTTTCAACTTAGTTTACAGTGGGAGTAGAAAATTCTAAGGAACTTTATTAGTACTATATATAATATTCATGTACATTACAAACAGATTATACAAAATTATACTCGAAACTCAGTGTACAAGCAGTGACTTGTCCAGCTCACAGAAGGACGATATCTTGTAAAATGCTCGTGAAATTGTTGCTGTACCCGCATACGAAGAAAGAGAAAATAAATCTAGCGGTAAAATAAACAGAGTTGAACTAAATTGAGCTCATTATACTGCGACAAATGTTTCTCATGAATGCGATTATCGCGATTGTCTAATTGTTTTACCAGATATTGGTTATCATAATGACTCTCAAGTTTTTGATCAAATTCCTTACAAAAATGAAGAAAATATGTCGGATGAATCAAATGATGGTCAAAAACCCAATGCAAATTTGGTAGATACTGATTTTCCTAGTGGATTCTTTATTCAATGCGGGAAATATGTTTTAAATAGGGTCACATTAATTGTAACTTGGGGATATGAGGATCCAAAACCATTTCTTAGGGGAGGATAGTCAGAAAATTTAAAGTCAGGATTTAAACTTCAGATCTTCAAAAAGAGGGGAGTTGTTATATCCCAACGAGGATTATGAATGGTAACTTTTGAGAACTATTTATGGACCAATACGACACATATATTTTTACTGCATAATTGTTAAGCAACTAAACTATGCATATTCATGTTCCTTTTATTATAAGCTTTATTTTGACCCATAGACTATTATTATGCGATTGCCGTTCTTGATTTATACCCGGTCGATAATTCACTGTTCTCTAATTGGTGGTATCATTACGTCATATACTGACAGGGGCTGAAGGCCACAAAATATAACATACATATGTTATCCTTTCAAATTTGTTATTTCGTCTTAGATATGAAGTACTTCTGGATAATATGTCCAGGTACAAATAAAACCCTTATACATTCAGTAAGTTGAACGTCTATCACTCACCGTTCTTGCTATGCACATATACGACAAGGTTTAATCAAACAAATTTAAGCAAAAACAGTAGGCAAAATGTATTTATTTAGCATCATGAAGTAATGGAGAAAACTTATGCCTCAGGGTGGAGCTGAAGTCTGTGAACTAAGTATTTAATGGCAAAACTTTTGTTGTCTTTCTAGGCGAAGTCATCAATAAGACGGTCGTATTGATGTGGGGTATTAGGCATGTCTAGCAGCTTGTCCGATTGACATGAGGTTTATGTACGTGTTAACGGATCATAATATGTTATTTGTAGGCAGATTGCGGTATATATATATATATATATATATATATATATATATATATATATATATATATATATATCTGCAACTCAAAACAGCTGTCTGTCAACCAACACTAAAGTCAGAATTTTCAATAGAAATATCAAGACAGTTCTACTGTATGGAGCGGAAACCTGGAGAACTACGAAATCCATCATCCACAAGATATAGGTGTTTATTAACAGTTGTCTACACAAAATACTTCGGATCCGTTGGCCAGACACTTTTTGTGTCCGTTGATCTGTCTCCATTTAGAGCGTACGAATGTTTGCTATCGCTGATTCTCGTATATCATCGTCGACTTAAATCATGTTAGTCAATAACGGAATTTAGATAAGTCAAATAACGAGAATGGGATTTTGAATACATATATTTTGTATGTAAAGTGAATGTAATAGAACAGAGCAAAATGACGCGCATGGAAGATGGCTGGGAAGCCAACTCCATTTCAAGCCGGGCATTACTCAATATTTATAGGCAGACAAAATAAACTACAGACATGAGATGAGTCATGGGACATGAAGTGCACACACATATATGTTCACATGAAAACAGTCAAGGTTGATAAGCGAATAATTAACAAGGTCAAAACATGACTCAAGTAGAATGAATAGAATGGGATGTCCGGAAACTAGAATAAGATATATTATGGGCTAAAACTAATGACTAACACTACACTATATTAGCAACAACGTACTGTGGGAGAGAACAAACCAGATCCCAGCAAAGGAAGAAATCAAGAAGAAGCGCTGGAAGTGGATAGGACACACATTGAGGAAAGCACCCAACTGCGTCACAAGACAAGCTCTCACATGGAATCCTCAAGGTGAAAGGAAAAGAGGAGGACTAAAGAACACAATTACTTCGAGAAATGGAGATAGACATGAGAAGAATAAACAAAAATTGGATGGAACTAAAAAAGAAGGCCCAGGACAGAGTGTGTTAGAGAATGCTGGTCAGCGACCTATACTCCATTAGGAGTAACAAGCGAAAGTAAGTCAGTAAGTAAATCGCTAGAAAAATTATTCCATTTAAAAAGAAATATAAATGAACCAAATTAACTCAGAAACAAACAAAAAAAAATAGACAGGCATTATATTCTTAATTGTTATTGGTTAAAAATTGTCTATCCATCCACATGATAATTTGAATGTCATAAATTGACCTTGTTACTGATTGGATATAATTGATTTATCGATCATTATGTTATGATAAATTTAATGATGGCGTGATAACTAAATACATCGGCTTACCTACCTACCTACGTACCTACCAACCAACTATTTATGAAAGATTGTACTACTTAAACGGATTTAAAATGTGATATATATTCTTATGTCGTTAATCATTGTGAACTAATTCTAATGAATTATTTGGGTCGTTTAATTTCAAGTGCTCATCAATATTATAAAAGTATTAATGTAGCTAATTTAACTGGTGCTATTGATGTGATTGTTGTAAAAAATAAAAATGGTGAATATCAAAGTACACCATTTTATGTAAGATTTGGAAAAATGGGAGTGTTATATCCACAATCACATGTGGTAAGTTATAAATGAAATGTTTCTTAATTTGATTTGGTTTTCTTTTGTAAACTACTGATTGTATTATGATGTATGTTATGTAAGGTGAGACTATAATTTATGGATGACTTTTGAGTGACGCCCAAGTGATCTTGAGAGTGTCTACCTATATAATAGTGTTAAATGAAGGTTATTAAACAGTTTAGAGGATGAGACTATAATTTATGGACGACCTTTGAGCGACGCTAAACTGACCTTGAGAGTGGTCACCTAATAACTAGGATCAAATGAGGGTTATAAACCATTGTGTGAGGGAATAGAATTATGATTTACAGTTGGTGGTTAGGGTTAGGAATTAGATATAGAGTTTTTATCAGGAACTGACATCAGCTATAATAGTTTAAAACAATTAGTCCCTTTGATAAATTTCGATAATGATATTAGAAGACGAAGATTATCAGAACTATGTGATATATTAGCGCAATACATTTCGAACAATCTGGTCACACATATACTTGTTAAGAGCATTTATATATAAAAATAAAAGGTCAACTAGACAGGAAACGGGGTAAGAGGAGATAAGGATAATGATAAGAGTAATAATAATAATAATGTGAACACAATTTGAAACCTAATCACTCTGGATAATAAGTCAATATTACCAGGGTAGGTTTAAGGTAAGGACAAACTGTTTTTGAACACATAAAGGGGGTTTGAATTTTCGTATGGCTAAGGCTTCAATGAACCTTAGTATACGCCCTTTTACACTTTTATACAGCACTACAAAAGCTGAATTTAGATCAATCTTGTGACCTGTTTCAATTATATGTTTAGCAATAGAAGATGATGGATGTTTATCCTCTGCTCTTAACAAGTATATGTGTGACCAGATTGTTCGAAATGTATTGCGCTAATATATCACAAAGTTCTGATAATCTTCGTCTTCTAATATCATTATCGAAAGCTATAATAGTGTTAAATGAAGTTTATTAAGCAGTTTAGAGGATGAGACTATAATTTATGGACGACTTTTGAGTGACGCCCAAGTGATCTTGAGAGTGTCTACCTACATAATAGTGTTAAATGAAGGTTATTAAACAGTTTAGAGGATGAGACTATAATTTATGGACGACCTTTGAGCGACGCTAAACTGACCTTGAGAGTGGTCACCTAATAACTAGGATCAAATGAGGGTTATAAACCATTGTGTGAGGGAATAGAATTATGATTTACAGTTGGTGGTTAGGGTTAGGAATTAGATATAAAGTTTTAATCACGAACTGACATCAGCTATAATGCCAAGAAGCTATATAATTAGTGTTCATATACAGTTTTTATTTAAAGTGTGTTATTATACCTATTATCTAAATATCAACCTTTGTCTCTAACTTGTCTTTATATAACTTCTAAATTGTAGTCTGAGGTAATTTTTCCACACCCTAATATACTTTGAAATAGAGAATATAGTTTTACAGTGATCAAAATAGTAACAACAATCATTTTAAATTATCAGGGTTATGTTTGAATAGTTCCTGGATGTTGACGGGCATTTCTAATCATACAGTATTTTCTTTTTAGAACGTTTAATTGTCCAATATTAAATAACTTGAAAATTAGCATAATCAAACTTATATCATATTAGAAAAGTCATTGGATCTTACCAAAATTGGAAAACTCATTTGTTGTTATTCTCAGCTAAATTGACTGTAAAATAGAGTCTGGTTAGCGTTTTCTTTTTCTACGGGATGGGGTCGCTAACCCCCATGCCCAACCCTCCTCCTTTATCCGAGCTTGGGACCGGCAGTAGCTCCAGACGGAGTAAATAATATAAATAAATTGTTCCGATCTTACTTGACTTATTATTTCTTACTGATTCATTCAACATATTATGTCTTCTAGTACTATGAATAAATGACGTATAGATTTTCTGACACTAAACGCAAGTTAATAACGTCTAATGTACAATACAAGGTACTTTTGTCGATAAATGTTAGTTCGATTCTCTCTAGCTCCCTATCTGCTGAAAGTAAGGTTTTCTTTAAGAACTTGTGAGTTATACTTATAGGAATGAAATTTTAGGAACTACATGCTTAAAGGATTTGACAATTGTCTTCATAATTATGAGTAATTAAAGTTATACTATCTAGTCAATACCAGTGTCATTTTATCAACTAAATCTGAGATGTGGTCATCATTTTAAAGTGACGTCACACTACAGCGCAATATATTTGATACCAGATCATTGGAGGCTATGGATTTAAAAGCTAGGAATCTACGTTGTATTTTAGAAACATTTCCACATCGATGTTTGTCTCTTGGCCCAGCAGCTTAGGACGATAACTGCCCGAGTACTCATATCCAGGGGAACTAGCCACTGAGAACGTACGGCGTACGGCCTTATAGTTTCAGATTGGATAATGTATCCGCTTTATTATATGCACCTTCACAACGCCGTAAGTGTATTCATAGATCGATCAAACAAGAGGTGCGTTCCCGAGCAAATTATTACTTTGCTTGAGTCTATAATTCCATTTATCTAACCTTTTATAATTCAATATCGATAAGAGTGACGAAGGATACCAAGTTTTGGGGAGGGTGGGCATAACAATTATTGTCTACACAAATATATCATGGCATACCTAACAATCTATTCATCGTCACTTTTCATAGTTTGGCTACTGAATGTTTTCACACTAGGTGTCTATTTTTCTCTTGTATACGGAAAAGAATAGGGATCTACATGGGCCACAAACGAGTAGGAAATCCCAACCCCTATTTTGGTGAACTATTTAGTAAACTTTTATACTAGCTGCTTTTGAGAACACCAGTTCACCATTTGTCGAATGGATCCAATCAGAACCACGAAGGAAAAAAAGATTATTTTATTTTATCACTTGTATGAAAGGCATAAAGTAAGGAAGCTGTGCAAAGAAATAAAGAATGTGAACACACTGAGGACTTAAAGAGCATTAATAAAACAAACAACTATAAGATAATAGCGAACAGGATTTAGAGCCACAGATATTATGTACATGGATCTGCTCCAGGCTACTTAATATGTCCATCAGACAAAATCTGATATTTTGGTTACCGACGCGTACACAGCCGTCTACATTCCAGTTATATCCCTGGTAACTTGACACATGTATTCAAATAATTTATTTTACACGTGCGGTTAAATTAAAAATATTTGAGATAAATTTACAAAGTAGTCAGCTGATCATACATAAGATATGAAGTTAACCATCGAATCAGTACCACTTAGTGACGCAAGAGTGATCGAAGTATATATTGATAATCAAGTAATCTTTCAAATTGTTAAAAAGATATGAGATCTGAGCAAATATGAGAACTACAGAGAGATCATATTACTGTCAGTAACAGCAACAGGTTTCAGCAAACAGTTGCTGAACCGAATGAAAGACTCAGTAGATGCCCAACTCCGAAATCAACAGAACGGATTCCGTATGGATCGGTCGTGCACAAACCAAATCGCCACACTAATGATCACCGTTGAACAATCGATTAAATGAAACACGTCACTATACATCAACAACATTGATTATCTGAAAGCATTTGACAGTGTGATTAAGAGAACATTATGGAAACTTCGACACTATGGAGTGAGCACCTGAGAAAATCGTCAACATTATCCGGAACTCACAAAACAGACTACAATGAGAAGTGGTGAATGGAGGACAGCTGACTGACGCATTCCAAGTGGGGACTGGAGTCAGAAAAGGTTCCTCGCTCTCCCCCTTTATCTTTCTTATGGTGGTTGACTGGGTTATGAAGACCTGAACATCTCAGAGGAAGCGCGAAATAAAATGGATAGATTGAATAAAACTAGACGATTTTTAATCTGCAAATGACCTGACCCATCTATACCATTCACATGAACAAATGCAGGTCAAGACAAACAGTGTAGCAGCAGTCTCTTCATCAGTGGGTCTCAATATGCACAAGGGGAAAAGCAAGGTGCTCAAATACAACACAGCGAACACCAACCAAACCAATCACACTTGATGGAGAAATTCTGGGAGGGATGGAAACGTTTACTTATATGGGAAACATCATCGACAAACAGGGAGAATCTGATGCAGATATGAAGGCGAGGGCCGATAAAGCAAGGACAGCACTCCTACAGTAGAAGAACACTTGCAAATCAAAACAACTGTCATTCAATATCAAAGTCACAATCTTCAATGCGAACTTCAAGACAGTTCTACTGTACGGAGCTGAAACTAAGAGAACTATCACAACCATCATCAAAAATTGTTAGGTCCTGAGAAACATAATGAATGGTAACTTTGGGATCTATTGATGGACCAATACTAAACGTATGTTTTTATCGTATGATTGTTAAATAACTAAACTATTCATATTTATGTTCCTCTTATTATAAGCTTTATTTTGACCTATGAACCATTATTATACGTTTTACCATTCTTGAATTATGCCCTGTCTATTAGTCACTGCCTCCCACATTCATAGCCACATCTGGCTAATCCTTGTACAAATGTTGTTTCATATTTTATTGGTACGTTGTGGTCTGTTTGATTGGTATATAAACTCAGTGTGTGTGAAATATAATGATTCATATTGCAGAGGTTGAGGCTGGTGTTCTTGACTTAACTGGCTGAGCTAAGCGGGAAGCAGGACCAATCAGAACTCTAGGCTGCTCGCACGTGTTTTACGCCTCCTTGGTTCGATCGACAATTCGCTGCTTCTGATTGGTGGCCTTGGGTGATAACAAAAATGTGCAAGTATTTGTAAACAATTGTCTACGTAAGATACTGAATGTCCGTTGGTCGGATACCACAAGCAGCAGCCTACTTAGGGAGAGAAAAAACCAGCTTCCAACTAAGGAAGAAATTAGGAAAAGATGTTTGAAGTGAATAGGACATACATTAAGGAAATCATGAAACTGCATCTCGAGGCAAACCTTAGCTTGGAATCCTGAGGAGAAACAGAAAAGTGGAAGGCTGTAGAACACAATGCTTTGGTAATTGGTAGCAGATATGATAAGGATGAATATCGAGTTGAAAGAACTGAAAAGTATGTCACAGGACAGAGTTGGATAGGGAGTGATTATGAGCGTACTATACTCCTCCTTGAGGAGTAACAGGCGTAAATTATTAAGTAAAAGAAAATCTAGCGATATATGTTATAATTTTTGTTCATTACTTTTGTATTAGTTTTTTTTTTACTTTCAATTTTCAACAACCATTGATTTTAATAAATCAAATCTACTTATTCAATTGAATCTGTTCTCAATTATTCGAGTTGTGATTCATTGAACCAATTCATATATAATTAAAATATTATTTTTAATTTGATCTTTATTAGCAATCACTGTAATAATAACCATAAATAATTATAAGCATCTATATAAATTATCAAGATAAATTGTGTCATTAGTCTCCATGTTATCAGTTTGTGTAACTAAAAATTACAAATTGACAATTGAATGAATGACAAGTGTATCTATAGTGATAAGAGTCAAATAATTACCTGGAGACAGGTTTTAAACAAAACTTTTTCAAGATGCTGTATTGGTTATGATTAATTAACTTGAATAAAATCAATGAACGTTTTGATGTTACTGATTATTATTATTATTGTTCAGATGTAAATATTTCATGTCTGTTTGCCAGAATAAATCTGATGATTAATATGATGTAAAAAGAAAACTGTCTTAATTTCTACACTAGATTCTTCTTGACAGAATTCAAAACATTGTTTTCTTCAATTAAATAATCATTGATATTCCTTGGCATCTTTAGTGAGAATAAGAACTAGATTAAATGTAACCAGCTGATGAGTCCTAAATAGGACGAAACACGCGTCTTGGATTCCACTGCTAGACACTATACATCTTTACTAATAACTTACTTAGTGTTTCTGATTATCGCTTTTACTCTTTATCTCTCTTTCTTAATAACGATAAACTATTGTTTTTTCTTTCTGTTTTAAATTGTATTCCTTATTGCTGACAACAATTTATTTGTAGTTAACTAAGTAAATTAAAAAGTATTGTAATCAATTCTTTATTATTGTTCTTTGCAGGTTGATGTGTGTATTAATGGACAGCCAAGACCAGATATATGCATGCATGTTGAACCGACAGGTTATGCTTATTTCGATAATGAGGTATGTTTTAAATCTATATATTATTATTCAGGATCTCTTTTAATCTTTGTAATCATTCAGTGAACTGATGATAAGTTCAGTAGATTAGGCTGACCCAATCGACAATTCATACATTTTTTCATATACCACTTATGGATAACGTTCTCTGATTGGTTCGTCCATAGATTAAATGGATGAAGACGGACAACCATGAGACCACAAATTGATTGTTATATCCTAGTGAAGATTAAATTACGAGTAACTTGTGAGACCTATTAATGGAATAATATTATCTATATATTCTTATGGTATAACTATTCAGTAATTAGATTATGTATATCTATATTCCCTTTATTATAAGCTTCATTTTAACCTGTAGATTATTATGATCCGATTTACCGTTCTTGAGTCATACCCAGTCAATTCATTACTATCTCCCACATTCACAGCCACTTTTTGGCTTTATTGTGTATAAATGTTATTTCCTATTTTATGGTGCGTTGCGGTCTGTCTGGTTGATGTATAAACCCAGTATGTCTGAAATAAATGATTCGCATAGTGGAGGCTGTTATTGGCATTCTAGACAGCTGGACAGGCTACGCAAAGGGCCAATATGACGTAGTTTTCAACTAGCAACTAGCAATAACCGCGCCTCAGATAAACTTCATTGGCTACGGTACCGCCACTGCGCAAAGTCCTGGCAGCGACATACGCCTTATTGCCCCCAAACGCCCTGGTATGGCCGAGAGCGGGGTGGGTTCGCCCTTCCTCTCGAAATACTCTCACACGGCCGCGCGTATACAGCCTCTGCCAGGGAAGTCCTACTCACTGCCTTCTCGTGGCGGGGGTGTTGTTTACGAAAATGAGAGGACGAAAAGCGAATTTCCGGCGCTTTAACCGGATTCCAAACCAATGGTGCACATGGGCACCAGTATCCTGCGGGAACAAATGGCGTATGAACCAATCGTTGGTCACCGGCTACCATGGGACTGCATCTCCTTACGATGTTCCACTGCCTTGTGGGTTAGACCTTTAGGTCAAAGGCTCGGGGTGTGGCCCCCTAAGATAACCACCTGCTTCGGTCTGGGCACCCGGGCAGTAACGCAGCCCACACGCAATTAATGAACTGAAATTGTGTGGCGCATATATGTTTGGCGCACTCCTGTACCAATATATATGTGTTCAAATAAATAAATAAATAATAATATGACGTAGGCTGATCAGACCGGACGAATGTCATTGGTTTAGAACAGTACGAGAGCGAATGAGTCGTATTTTGATTGGCGAGTAGATTACGTGATAACTAGCGGGCCATAAAGTCACAACACTGATCCTTATTTTTTGCTTTCACTTTTCCTTAACAAACTGGTGAAGTTGTAAGTTAAGTATAGCTAATCAGTATGTAAATTATTGTACGTATTAAATATTTTGTAAATTAATCCAAGCTTAACTTCATTAGAAACTGTGAATTGAGTTTGGTCAACTAATATTTGGCTATTTCTTACAAGGTTATTCTTATACTTCAATAGAGATACTAAGAGATGAGTGGACTCATTCACTTTCAAAAAGAAGAAATCACTTTACTTTCCGTTCATTTTTAGTTATCGGTTTCAAGGCATTTGTCAACAAGTAGACGATAAGCACTTTGAGGAAATAGTCCACTTAAAACATACGTCCTACACAATACAAGCTGCTAAGTAACTTGAAACCAATTTCTTTTTATGCAGAACAGGAGACAGACACCATATGGTGTCCTCGATGTAGAGCTACTTAGACTAATGAACAAACTAAAACTTAGTCGATAGATTTCGATCAGCACTAAAGGAATTGTTGGAAAGGATGCATTATTGCCTCCTTACATACCTGTTCATTCTATCCTTTCGAATCATATTCTCAATGCGTAGTCGTTCTTATCATCATTAACCTTACGTTAAACAGATGAATTTGGCACTCATCGTATGAATTTCATCTCATCGCGCTGTTGTAGTAAAACAACATGGTTCACATTTGTACTAATCTGTACTTTGGTCATGACTGATTGTACTGGAAAGAAAATCCAGATTATTTAAGTCTACTGAACATACAAAATCAGTGATTACTTGAAGAATCGAATCATTGAAGTTTTTACGGTCATGATTTACATCTTTGTTCTCTGGACCACGTTAGTCATCATATGTGTATAAATTTTAAATCTTTCACTGATAAACATTAATTTATTTAATAGGAATGTAAACTTAAAACGGAAGATAAAGAAGTGTTACTTAGAAGCAATGAAGAATTACAAACTTGGACACGAAATGAGAATGATCATATTGATTGTGTTACAAATGAATCAAATAGTGAACAATTGGAAAATGTTTTTGAAATAGATATTCAAGTTAGTAAGTGAAACAATTCCGTTGATTATATACCTAAACAAAATTAATATATCGAGACTGACATAGAATTATTCGTCCATTCTTTCATGGAGAATTCTCGGAGTTCTAGTGAGAAGTTGTGACCAGTGGAGCTAATCCGTGTCGGGTAGGGACAGATATCTACTTCAATACGATGGAAGGTGGTCGGGCAATTTCGTGGATTGGTTGGGGTTAGATGGCTCAGTGGTGTAGAGGTTAAGCGTTCACGAGCGAGGCCGAAGGTTCATGGTTCAAAAACCGAGAGCGGTATCATGGATGTGCACTGCTAAGAAGTTTCACAATAGGACGAAACGGCCGTCCAGTACTTCCATGTTTTCAATGGTGGTCTAACACCAGTCGGTTTAAGATCTCAATCAATAACTTGATAATCTCCACAACCCTATAATCTCATGGAATAGTTTGTTTCATAAAGTAATAGGATCAACGTTGCTGTATTTAGTTACTCACATCAGAACCATTAAAGATGACAGCTGGATTGAATTCACCAACTTATAAATAATTTAATTCCTGTAGCCATACAGAATTGGCATAAAAGTAAATGGTAAGAAGGAACTATTTCAAGTTTAATATTTATTTATTCAGAAAATGGTATACTCTTTTTAAATACACTTAACGCCATAATTATAAAAAGACTTATTCTAGCGAAACGACTTATGCCTATCTATTTGTGTTGGCACAACACATAAAATGCATAGTTTATAGATGACATTTAAATCTTTAGGAAATAATTAATAATATCTTGCTGGTTTTTTCATACAAATGATAGGCTTAAAAATGAAGTTAGAATTCAATTAGATACAAACTAGTGATCTGATAAAGTTAATGCTTAGATAGCAACATATACAATTTAGGTACCAAAACATAAATCAAGTGATTACCAGCTATTATCAATTCTCCTACTGTTTGTCTTGAACAATCCCGCCCACGAAAAATATGCAACTTTCAATAGATTTTGATTTTTTCTAAAACTACGGTTTTTAGGCTCACAATCCTTACCTCTTTATTGTTATCACAGTTTACTTTTTTAATTAGAGCTTTTAGCGACAGACTTCTTAGTGGTGTGTCCCTACAGGATGTCGTTGTTTAACTCCTAGATTGTGAAGGGCTATTCAAAACTTATCTTTGCACAGTTAGTTTTAAGGTAATGTTAAATTTATTAAAATTATTGCGTCAGTCAGCTGTCCTCCATGCACGACTTTGTAGTGTAGTCCGTTGTATGAAATCCGTATGATGTTGACGATTTTCTCAGGTGCTCACTCCATAGTGTCGAAGTTTTCATAATGTTCTCTTTTTCACACTGTCAAACGCTTTCAGATAATCAATGTTATTATTATTATTATTATTATTATTATTATTATTATTATTATTATTATTAGCTTTATTCAATATTATAATTTTGGTACAATATAGAATTCTCAGCGCAAAGTATTTCAAAAAGTTTCCGTTTCTTTCTTCTTGGTCGGTCCTGGCGATAAATATTGAGGAATCGCCAGTTAGATGTTAGCACTTCAGTGAATGAACAACTGAATAATGTACATTCTTTTCGTTGTACATTGCCAGCAACCATATTGTCTCTTATTGAGTTTTCTGTAACTTTGACAACGAAAGGTTGTACACTTTTCAGAAACGCAGCAGAATAGGTTGTGCGATTAATAAACATAATGATATATTAAAACAAACAACAATAGATAACTTGTTGAAATATCTAGATGGCAGGAACAGGTAGCCCAGATGCTCAAGCAGGCCGCCCTAGTGACGTGTTTCGTTCAATCGATTGTTCAACGGTGATCATTAGTGTGGCGATTTGGTTTGTGCACGACCGATCCATACGGAACCTGTTCTGTTGATTTCGGAGTTGGGCATCTACTGAGTCTTTCATTCGGTTCAGCAACTGTTTGCTGAAACCTGTTGCTGTTACTGACAGTAATGTGATCTCTCCTTAGTTCTCACATTTACTCAGATCTCCTTTCTTTGGCGTCTTGATGAAATATCTTTCTTCCCAAACTATCGGCATTTATTCCTTCGCCGAAATCTTCCTGAATAGAACGTGGAGCATGCTTGCAATTACTTCTTTGTGTGACTTCAGTACTTCAGGTGGTATATTGTCATGTCTTGCTGTTTCCCACTCTTGACTTGTCTGATGACTATCGTGATCTCGTTGATCGTTGTTGAAGTGACATCTTTGCTAAGGTCTGTGCGTGATGTTTTGATATCCGGTGGATTTAATGGATCTTGTCTACTCAAGAGTTTGTCGAAATTTTCCACACATCTGTTCCTCTGTCCTTCAATTTCAGTGATCGTCTTGTCTTCACTGTTTTTGGCCGGTCTCTCTGATTTACGATATTTCCTTGCCAGCTTCTTCGTCGTGTCATGTAGTTGTTTCATATTCTCTTACTGCTTTTTCCCTTATGCTTGTTAGATCTTCCACATATTTCTGCCTTTTGGATCTAACTTGTTTGCTTCTGTGCACTCAGCCTGTGTCTTGACTTTCTCTGCTCTTTTTCGACTGTTGTTGATTGCGGTCTTCTTGTTCTTCCTTTCTTCAGTCTCGTGTAGGGTTTCGATGGAGATCCATTTCTTAATGATGATGCTGATTGCCGCCCATCGCTTCCTGACACGTTGAAGTTAATGCTTTTTCAATCTCTTTCAAATTGTCTTCCGTAGCAGTTTCTTCTTTCAGTTGATCCTGTATGGCTTGGAACCTGTTTTTGAGAGTTATCTTGAATTCGTTGAGTTTATCAGTATCTCGTAGGAAGTCTGTATTGATCCTTGGTAATGCTGTTTCCCTAACTGTCCAGTGTTTTTTTTTGCCTCAGCTTCATCTTGGCAACCACGAGCTAGTGGGGATATGAAGCTATGTCAGCTCTCCTTCTGGTTCTCACGTTTCCCATTGACCTTGTGATTTTTAGTGATACAAATATGATCTATCTGGTTCTCCGTGGTGTGATCCGGTGATGCCCGTGTAGCTTTGTATATGCGTTTGTGTGTGAATATTTTGCCACCTATAACCAATTTGTTTGATGCACATAGATTTGCAAATCTGTCAACAGTTTTGTTTCTTTTTCTCAGTCAGTCCATGTCGTCTCATGATATCTTCATATCCGATGTTGTCCATTCCGACTTTGGCGTTTAGGTCTCCCATAAGGATGGTGAGATCCTTTCTTAGTCATTTCGCTATGATTGATTGCAGCCTCTCATAGGATTGATCTTTATTGTCGTCGTTGCTATCATTGATAGGTGCATAACACTGGCTGACATTCATTGTGATTTCTTCTCTCTTTGTTTTGAATGATGCTTTGATGATTCTGGATCCGTGAGATTCACATCCTATAAGCGCATTTCGTGCTTCTTTGGAAAGCATCAGAGCAACTCCCTGATTGTGTGGAGCATTTTACTCTTCGTAATCAGAGTACAGCAACATATTTCTCGAATCCAACCTTTTCTGTCTGGCTTGAGTCTAATGAGTTTCACTGATTCTGAGCACCGTCAAGTTGTGTCTCCTCATTTCCGTAGCTATTTAACTGGCCCTTCTGGTCTCCCACATTGTCCGGACATTCCATGTACCCATAAAAAAGTTTGCTCTGCTTATCTTTTACTATATTTGATCAATATGTGTGTGATTGCGTTTTATTTGTTGTAATGATGTTACAACTCGAGAGCAACCTGGGCACTTCCATTGCAAATTATTTTTTTTACGAATCCACTAATGCACTTGTAAGCCATAGAACATTCACTCTGGCTTACATAATCCTTACTGTCCTGGTACCCATAATCATTATGTATTTAACTGGGGATATGGTTCGTTTTCCGAAGAGTAGTGTCGATAGAGGAAACTTTAAAAACAGTTTTCATGTCTATGATCCACGTTGTTGTCCAATGATGTGGCTTAGACGACACATCATTTAAGATCAAATGGTCAAATTGTTGGAAACACATCTCCTGCTCCATAGGAATAGATGGTTGTTTCACTTCTAACTAACATATTCCTTAATATGCGTAAGTCATTTTAATTTCTAATAAGGCTTGAGTACACTTCATAGTAGTTTATCAGGACTTACACATAACTGTTTAATCTAAATGGCTTGAACTGTTATGGGTCTTCGACTACAGCTACCTCTTATACATTGTTGAAATTGGGTAAGACTTTATAAGAATATAACTGCGGGTAATTGTAGAGTATTAATTAAGTAGGTAGTCGGTTGGTGTGTCTAGTTCTGGAGTTTGTTCCTTCCAGTAATTTCATTTCTCCAAGTCACTGTTAAGAATGATAGTAATCCTCTACTCTTGTATAGTATTCTACAGTACTATCATAAGAATCGTCAGTTAAAAGAGAATACTGTATAATCCAATTCTATAAATAACAAAAAAAAACGTTATCATCACTCACCGTTTTCATTAATCTTTAGTTCCAAATGGTGACAATTCAAAACCCATAAATAACTCGTCTGAATTCCAATCAAAATCCACAGACGTTATTCCAACTATTGACAAAGGAAGTTCATCAGATAATATTGAAGAACTGGATAAAGAAAATACAGAAAAGGTCACCCTAAAGTAAGTAAAGTCATCTAGAATTAAATTCATATGACTATCTTTTGTTCAATTGAGAGGTGCAATATTTTGTGTTGATCTCGGTTAAGTTTATAGGTAATTAATATCACAATTATTTTTAAAAGTAAACTACTTAACTTTCAACCAATGAGTTACATATTCACACTCCGCTCTTTTTCTACATCACTTTGAGCATCACCATTAATCCTTATACAAAATGTTTGACTCAAAACTGATTGCATAATTTTGTACTTAATTACTAAAGTGTATATCTGTAAATTTCGCAATTTATAAAATAATTTAATTGTAGTTACGAACCAACTGATCTATCTAAATTCTTTTAATCCTAACAAATTAACGAACATTGTTCTAACTAAGTTTTGAATAAGAATGCATACGATGTATAATACTAAGTTCATTGTCCTTTAAATAACTGTCAGAATAAGATTTTTATGCGTACACTACAAAATATTGGTTAATTTTAAATCGTTTCCAATGTTCATTTGTTTACTGAAACAGAAACTTCAATTGATAATATTTCAACCGGTGATATAAATTTATCAGTAAAGGGTTGGGGAGATTATCAAGTTATTGATTGAGATCTTAGACCGATTGATGTTAGACCACCATTGAAAACATGGAAGTACTGAACGGCCGTTTCGTCCTATTGTGAGACTTCTTAGCAGTGCACATCCATGATCCCGCTAGCGGGATTACAACCCAGGACCTTCAGTCTCGCGCGTGAACGATTAACCTCTAGATCAATGAGTCGGCATCCAACACTGTTAATATCTAACCTCAGTCAAACCACCGACACGGAAGCCGTGACCATTGGAGCTAATCCTTGTCGGGTACGGACAGATATCTACTTCAATACGATGGAAGATGGTCAGGCAATTTCGTGGATTGGTTGAGGTTAGACATTAAGTGTTGGATGCCGGCCGGCTCAGTGGTCCAGAGGTTTAGCGTTCACGCGCGTGACCTAAGGTCCTGGGTTGGAATCCCCCTAGCGGGATCGTGGATTTGCATTGCTGAGAAGTCCTACAATAGGACGAAACGGACGAACGTTTGTGTAAAACTACAGTGTAACCATTCGGAATAGATAAAAATAATTAGAATTTCTGGTGATCTTTAAATTGTCTAAGAACATTGGTTGATGAGAAAAGAATTAATCAGCTTAACAGTTATTTTCTCACTGTTGTACTAATTTATTAGGAACTGATTGTCTTGACAAAATCAAATTACAACCCAAAATGTAATAATAGGCTAATGTGTGTTTAAACATTTATATTTGCTTTTTAGGAGTCTTTCAAAGAATTCAAATAAATTATCTTCACCGTTTTGAGTGATTATTAAACTAGTAGAGAACACAGTTTGTCAGAATTACTCAGCTCTTTGATTAGTTTAGAACGTTGTTAGACGTATAACGGGAGTTGGTACTTCTCGGTCGCCGATTGTTAAAAGATGATTTTTAGCGAAAAGTTAACTGGACTATGGGTGCTCGTGAAAACCTGAGAATTTGAATGCAAGGCCTAAGGGACATTTACTAGTGGTCGACCACACAGTTTTGCTACGAATAAACCTTTTCTCCCACAATAGGACTCTATGAAACAGGATAAGATAAAGTATTCTTTAGGCTGATCATTTCTAAGCTCCTATTTTCGTCATGAAAAGATACCATTGCTGTTAACACTGGTTGTCTAAGAGAAACACCTACTAATGCCATATCTCTATACAACCAACAGTACGAAGTCCCCCCCCTTTGGACCATGAGTTAACTACTTATAGTCTTACCACTCTCTAACCACATTACTTGTTATAGTCAAATATAAGATGGTAACAAGAGTCTTTATTTCAGATAATGTTTTGTTCAATCTATTAAACTGTTATGGATAAACTATAATAAATTTACTTCTTTACATTTTTTTAATATTTTTTTTTACAGAGATTTAATTCAATATCTTCAAGATACAAATCATTGGCCAAATGAATTTTATATTTATCGTCTCTTAAATAAATCTAATCCTATTAATAATCAATTAAATAAAGATAACTTGGATAATAAAACTACACAATTAAACATGTATCCAAGTAATCCATTCAATAATGTACAAAAAAATCAATCAACACGTTCTAAATTTTTTCGTAAGAAATCATCTATCAATTGTGAATTATTATATCCGGAAGATTTTCTTAAATTAGATACTGATAAAGTACCATTCAATTCTATATGGATTGTATGGTCTGATAAATGTATGTTAGCTGAAACAGCTGCTTTAATATTATTGAAACATTTATCACAGGTAAATTAATTTGATTCTATTGAATAATTATGGCAAACTATTATGTAATATTGATATACTTGAATCAGTTAGTTAGTAACAACGTAGAACTTCGTACGTACGTACGTACATCAGTTCGAGTTGCCACACCACACTAGCACAGAGATGCAGTGGTCGATTCAAATCCTGTAGTGGTAGAGGTAGTAAGAGTATAAGCAGTAATTGGAAAGATTAGGGTTTGAAGATGTTATTTAAGGAGTACAATATAGTGAAGTAAATTTGGAAAGAGAAAAAAGGGACACGAAGAATTCAGAAGATTAGAATTTAGGAGAACACAAATAGTGTATGCACCTGCACGATTGCAAACGATTTTGAGCCATGTCATTCAGGGTCTTTAACCGTCGGTTGCTATCATCTCGCGGTCCCCAACCAGTTAGTCTACACCTACCAACATGACTCAGTCCTTTTGTCAGTGACTTCATGGACTTGTTATCATGAATTCACCTTACTTGATAACTGGAACAAAAAGTCAAAGATACAGTGAGTGACACGATAGGCTATTCTAATCTGTTTTCCCCGACCCTGTGAACTAGATCAAGAATTCTTCATGAGGCGTAGAGAATGTATTTTACAAGCACTCAGAAAATACGAGGTCACTATGCACACAAATCAAGTTTATTTATACAATGATAGAAACGCCATCAGGAGAGTTACAAAATAGCGTACTAAAAAAATCCGAGTGTGAAATGTAAACTGTAGGTTAACTAAGCGTCTCTTGGCGCGAAAACACAAAATTCAAATTTTCAGAATAAAATTACAAAATTAGGACCTTTTCCAAGTGTAAGTTCTGGGGATCTAACGTCTTCAACAAATACTATTACCTGTCTAAACTAAAATTGTATTAATTTTAAATGATTATTGTCAGAATATGGACTTGTGATCTAGCGTAAGTTGACTACTAAGATTTTGAATGAGTTTTATAAAGATCATTTTTAGTTAATATACAAGTGAAAACCAGAAAACGCTGGTTAGAGTTGGTTTTGTTAGAATCATTAAGTTTATCATTCAATGATATACATTTCTAACTTCGATCGATTTAAGATTATTCGCTGTGGTAGCCTATTAAACTAACTGGTTACTAAAAATAACAGAGAATTTTATCTCCAAAGATTGTCGTCAATATATATATATATCATAAACATTACATTACATTCATGTTAACTACGGTATACATCTCCAAATTAAGATAGTTTGTATTGCCTCTTTTTTATTTCAAATAAAGTTTAGGTAGAAACGATACACATTCATCACAAAAGCGTGAATGTATTCGTCCTATCATCGGAAGTATTCCAACTCTTTCTTGTTTGTTGCTGTGAACTAATTATGCATTCAGTAGTAGATAAATGCTATTGTCATCGAACAGCATCAATTTCTAGAAACAATTGTCAGTAAGGGATTGTGGAGATTGTTGGAAATGGTTAAAATCATGGAACGATCTATGTTAAAACACCATTGTAAAACTGGAAGCACTGGATATGTATTTTGCCCTAGTATGAGTCTCCTCAGCAGTTATGACCCTCGATCCCACACGTGGGAATCAAACTGAGGGCCTACAGTCTCGCGCACAGTCTCCTAACTTCTAAACTACTAGGTCAGCATCCAACGGTGTTAGTGTCTAACTTCAACTAATCCACGAAATTGAGCGACACATCCACCATTGTACTCAGTGAGCTGATATCTCAACAACAGGCCTGGTTGAACTCCACTGGTCACGACTTCTCACTAGAACTCCAGGAAATACTTCTTGAAGTCAGTCACCAGTGATCAGATGATTATTATCTGAGTGGGTTTTGTGGAGATTTTAGTAATTTCAATAGTCGGAATCATGAGCCAATTGAAGCTAGACGACCGTGGATGAGCACTGCTGAGGAGTCCCATACTAGGACAAAACGGCCGTTCAGTGCTTTCGTGTTTTCCATAGTGGTCTAGCTTCAATTGACTCATGATTTCAACTATGAAATTACTAAAATATCCACAAAACTCCCTCTGATAATCTCTAATTAACTGATTTTCCTAACTCTTAAATTTAGAATAATTCAATTTCATCTTTATCATTTTTATTATTTTCAATAACCACTTCACATCCCAATACACTATTATTCTCCATAGACTGAAAAAAATATTCGGTTAGAAAAAGATGCTTTACATCCAGCATATAATATTATACTTCAACAACATAAACGCGATCGTGGCTCAGAATTCCCATTGATGAATTCATCATTTAATGAAACAACTGATGATTATGAGACAGAAATACAAACTAATCAATCGAATACAATCAACACTAATAGTACTAGTGGTTGGTTATGGTGGAGAAAACGAAAACAAACTAATCCAAGTGATATTAGTTCAGATTCTGGTTCACAAGATTTAACTTATCAAGATTTATCACATCAACATTCTTCTGTACAATCAATGCTAGCTCCAATTGATCTTGGTATATCAAGTCCAGTTTTAATGCAAGAAGAATTTGATCAAGAGAATTATGAACGGTGAGCATAAGTGAAAAGTAATTTATTTTTTATAAGAATTCTATACTTCAGTAACTGGTAGTTTAGTGTGAATAAGAAGTAAGCTGTGTATAGATCAATTGAATAGTTATGCAAACATTCATTTGTATTTGTCATTTGGATCTTCCCATTGATGTTTAAGACTGAAACTGATCGGTCTGTTATTGGCATATGTGCATCATGTGAGGATTGCTTCGATATTTCCCCAAATCACAAACATTATAAGCATGGGAGGATGGTAGCTAGCAGATGAGTTGGTAGCACAGTGAATGATCTAAAGGCGTTTGAAATGAACGATACTGTGTTTGAGTGACGGAATGAATGTAAACTCTGTTATTCAGGTACATTCAGCTGATAAGTCCCAAATAAGACAAATCTCGCGTCCTGGACCCCTCTGCTAGCCATTATCCATTTCTAGATATGTGTGTCATGATAAAGTTTGTTCTATTTCATTCTGATAAATTCGATAGCAAAAAGTATTTACAGTTCAAGATAGAGAATGGTTTACTCTAATCTTTAATGTACCTTGTCGTGAACGTTTTATCATCAAGATTTGGAGTCATGTCATTCAAAGTCAATAACTAATGTTTACGACAATCACGAGGACCCCAAGCAGGTAGTCTACACCTATTAATATGACTCAGTCCAAATGTTAATTACTTCATAGACTGATGCAATGTTTTGGTTTTGCCGCCCCTAGTTTTCTTGCAGCCTACTACACTAGACAACATCATCAGTCGAAATATGCGCTGATTGGGCATACATAACACATTTCTCAATCATCTCAGTCGATGAAGATTGTCTAACTCATCAACCGACTTGTCATCCTTATCTAATGCCCTATTCCCAACCAGCCAAGGAAAGTGGTGATTGGGTATATGTAACACGTCCCAATCGTGTGAAAAATGAGAAAGAAAAGGAGCATAAAACAAACAACTTCCCCCATGTATCAGAATACTTGAAAACATTTAAATGGGTTTGCAATTCGTAAAAGTGGACATTTCAGTAGTTAGTATTAATTAAGCTCAAGTAGTATTATGTGTACTCTATTCCTATAGGGTTATATAGTACCAGAACTTGTGAAAGTATTAAACATTTTCATATCTAGTCACAAACACTAGTAGTTCTTTTGAGATACGAATTGTGACTTTGTTTTAAAGTGTATTATATAATTTTATTTAACTGGATCCAAATTTTATTCTTGTTAAAAAACGCCTCTGATTTTTGGGTAATTATATTATATAGTCTATACTATTCTAGATACATTCTCGTAGCTCAATTGCTCAGCATTGTATCTGTCAATTTACTCCATCTTATCCAAAGATGAGACCGAAAATGACATGAACATGTTTTTTATGTAACCGCCTATCAACCACACATATCGTAGTGTAACATCTGGTTAAGCCTAAGTAGGTAGGGCGAGGCTTGAACTAGATTAAAGGTCTAATACTTTAATTCAGTTACTTCCCATGAGATTGGTAAAGGAAATACACAATATTGAATGTCACTGCCCCCGAAGTTAGAAAAAGCCGCACTGTTTCAAATTCCGCACCCAAGAATTATTGTCTTACCTCAGGGAATTGCACTCATGGTTGTGATGTACATTCCTACGAACAACAGTCCAGTAACTTTCAATAATCTTACAATAGATAAAGACTGGACATTGAGTGTTTTTATTGCAGTCGTTCATGAACAATATAATAACACTATTCAAATTACCTCCGTCTAGACGGTTTTGAGAATCCGCTAGGTGTTCTACGGCCGTCATGAATCGCATAAAGGCAGTACATGTGTTTATTGATCTTTCAATTAATAAACTACCGTCACATAACTCAACAACTGATAGCTTCGACTGATAATTGTCGTTACTTTTTAATCTATGTCAGTTTTGATTTTTAACTTATTACTTGTTAATTGTATTGTCAATTCTCACATTTTAAATTTTATTATCATATCCTGTATAATCTCATACTGGGAACGAATATTATTTCAACAGTCCTTACAATCTGCCTAAAAGTGAATTGTTAAGTGTACCAACTACTGCTAAAATTCCTTTACATTCTTCAGCAATCGATGTAAGATGTAGTAAAACACCAGATCCTTCACAGACATCATCTCCTGAAGAGGCAGGATATTTTTCGGATGATAATCAAAGTAATAATGCTTATCATAAAAAAACAACTGCTAATATTGAGTCGAGAAGTTCAATTCAACAAGCAAATCGTTTAACATCTCAACAGCTTGTAAGTTGACAAATATCAATTCTTCTTTACTAGTATGTTTGTTTATAATTAACAGATATTTATTCTATAATTTAATTACAGTTTTGAATTTTTTTTAAAAAAAGTGATCTCAAGGATTTTTGGTTTAAGTTATGGTAGTTCACTTGATATTTTGATTGTTTTAAGTCTATAATTAGACTTATTCCATTGATTGTAGTTCCCTTCTAAGCACTTCTCGCGTATCATGGATGATAAATCCTGAGATTAAGCATAAGTTGCTAAACAAAGATAGGAAATCGATTGGTGGGAGTATAAATCTCCTGAGATTGAGATAGTTGAGACATGTGTTATGTATGACCGACTACCTCGACTATATGACTCGTGAGAAAGAATGAATTCGTGCAATGAAAAGTACTAGATAGTTTAGATGCTTAGGATCTACAAAAAGAAAAGAGTGAATGTCCTTAAGCCATTGTGAGCGATTCTGAACCATGTATCATTCATCCGACTGATAGAATCCTGGATAAGGTGATGTAATGTGAATTTAAAGGAATCGTAAAATTCAGTGTATTGCTTTGTAACCTATCAGTAGTGATTCTCTGTTTTCTATAATAACTAAAGTTCCCCAAAAATTACTGGAATTTGGACTTTTAGTTGAAACGTTGTATAACATGTGTGTCGTATAAAAAGTTTCTTAAAGGTCTTTCAATAATTTGACCCTCCTTATGTAAGTATCATGATATTATTATATATATTACCTGGAAAGTACAGGTACATTCGTACTAAAACCTTGGACCATACTAATTAGCAGTGATACTGTGAATTCTTGATATCGTTTCTTTGGTAAAGCTGATGATATTATTGAATGGCATTTATGTCTTTAAGATGATTATTTAGTCTGTAGTCTTATTGAAATCATGTATCAATCAATGTTAGACCACCATTGAAACCTGGAAGCACTGGACGGACGTTTCGTCGTGGTATGGGACTCCTCAGTAGTACGCATCCATGATCTAACATTGATCGGTTCATGGTTTCAATGAAATTCAACTACCTACACAAACCCAAATCGATAATTTGTTATTCTTTAGTAATGATCAAACTGAGCATTACTTTTGTTTCCGAGGTTTAATCCATCATACAGATAGACTGACTAAAGAGTCTGTACAATCTTTTTTATTAAATCTTTTTTCACTGTATGTGTTGGAAAGTGTTCGACTTCTTTTATCTACAATACTGATATCGTTCATAGAACTTTATTTTGTCTTCTTTTTTCGACATGATCTATATAGGTATGTCCTGCCTATTATGTAAACAAATTTCCAAAGAAACATCCGACATTAGTTATTAGTGTAAGGAATTTGTGGAGATTTTTGACTTATAAGGTTTACATCATGGAGTGACTTTAGTTAGATAATCATTAAAAGGCATAAAACACTGGACAACTGTTTCGTCCTAGTATGAAACCTGTTATCAGTGCGCATCCATAACTACATCGGTAATTGAACCCAGAACTCTCAGTTCTCTCGGCGTCAGCTTAACCTTGAGACCACTGATTCGGTATTCAGTGATTTACATTTCTAATTTCAGTCAATTCATCACATTGCATAGGAATCTTCTAATGGCACTGATGGATAAGTATTTCAGGTTCGGTTTGGTTGAACTCCACTCGTCACAGCTTCTATTTAGAGCTTCAGGGTTTAGTCACTGGTGAGCACATTATTATTATTAGCTTAATGAGATTTGTGGTCAGTTTGTAATGCAAACCATAATATTAGTTGATTGAATAATGAAATTCTTGATAACTTATTTCAATATTATTTTGTTTTGTAGAAAAGCCTTAATTTACACAAAGGTGCAAATGAAGCGGTTTTTTCTGTTGTCAGTAAATATCAAGGTACTTGTCAATGTGCTTGTTTTATATATCTATGGGATTGGTCTGATAAAATTGTAATATCAGATATTGATGGAACAATAACAAAGTAAGTAAGAGAAGTGATTTTCACATGAATTTTGTTCTATTTTTATTGATTAATATGTTATAAAAGATAATCAATTTTAACATATCTGGAAATTTAGGTTGTCTATACCTAAAATCATAGATTAACTCATTGTTAATCATCATAAGAACTCTGAATAATAATGATCTTGTCATTATTGTATTCACTTCATTAGATAATGTTTATACAAACTGTCAAAATTGCTTGCTTACTTACTTACGCTTGGTACTCCTCGTGGAGGAGCATAGGCCGCTGACCAGTACTCGTTATCCAGCCCTGTCCTAAGCAATCCTTTCTAGTTTGTTTTCTCACATAGTAATCTGTTGATGATAGTATCCGGACAACGGACATTCAGTGTCTTACGTAAACAATTGCTTATAAATACTTGTACCATTTTGACAGTGGTTGTGGTAGTTCTCATGGTTTCAGCTTCATACTGTAGAACTGTCTTGACGTTCGTATTTTCAAAATTAATCCAACCTTAATGATATGGATTGTTAATTGAGTGATTATTATGTTGAACATAAAGTTATTTTCAGTATATTGTGGGATATTCTACATTTTCTTATCAAGCCTAATCTAGCTAGAGAGTAAATGAAGCTTCTATAAAGTTGTTTATATATTTGATATTAAATAACATCGTTTCTTGGATTTCATACAGATAGCTAAAAGACATCACCTTGTTCTTGATCCTAGAACCTGCAACCAATCTCTACTTGTCCAACTTTTTATTACATTTCATAACGGAATAGTGTGAAGAGATCAGCATGAGGCATAAAAAGCAGACAAACTAAATGGTACTAGCAATGGTGAAGGAAAATAGGATAGGAAAGGTTAAGGAAAACCAAGAAACGTTTTGGCCGGACAAACACCTGGTCAAGGTCTGTTTTAGACAGAATCATGTTGAAGCGCTCTGACTGATCCATTTCCAACCAATCAGCGCTAATGAGGGGGTTGAGAAGATTAGAATATTCTTGTGTTAAGTTAATATTTACACTGTGCTATGTCCAATGGTCTGTAAATTACCACGTGACGAGATCCTCATTCAGAACACCGATCTATACAATCTTGACCCTATGACAAACTAATGACGCTCTGACCAACACCAGCAGCCTAGAGTCTACTCCGAGTTCTTATTAGTTCTTCTCTCCTAGCCCTGCTCGTTTGAGTTGAGAAAACAATCTCAGCTTACACCGTATAAATCATGTATTCCAGACATACTCAGTTGGTATACAAGCGAACCAGACCACATCATACCGTAAAATAGAAAATAACAATTATACAAGATCAAGTCCAAAGTGGGTGTGTAAGAGACTGTAACTAATAGATTGGGGATAACTTAAGAATAGTAAATCGTATAATAATAGCCAATAAGTCGATCGAAAGTTTATGATAAAAGGAATATATATATGTAATAATAGTCCATAAGTAATTCCTAGTAATTACTATTCATTTATTCTTCGATCGGATATAACACACATTTTGTTACCTAGCTTGACTTGCTGTTTTACTTCTGACCAAATTTACATTACTGTCCAAGTCTTGTTTGTTTAGGGAATCGGTCACCTGAAGTGAAGTGTTCAAGAATACTGGGCCGATGAAGACTTAAAACAAAGATATAAGTAATACGTTATTAAATATACTTAAATAAAGATAAACACTTGGTACAGCTTTTATGTCACACGTTCTAAGTAGTTTCATTCGAACTCTCTAATTATTGATTACATTTGACACATAACTTCAAATGGAGTATGTTTTTGATTCCATACATGATACAAATCTAATGAACTGATCCTTGCACCTACTTAGCATTTTTCTAACTGTCTCTTTTGTCAATCAGTGTGACATGGTTCGATCGGAGATGGCAAAGTATGCGTAACATATGTTGATAAAGGTTTAGATCCTCATCGACTAGTTTGCGGTTTTCAACCTTCGTCTGACATCAATACGGATCAACCAATGATTCTACCACAAGCTGTAAATACATCGAGCACATCTATACTTAGTGTACATATAGAGATTCCCTTGAATTTCACTTCTGTAAACATTTATAGAGTTGGACTGGGGCCAGTGGTACTTGTGCTTTGATAGGTTCACAGATTTTCTGTTTGATCAATGACATAACTTATCAAAAGTCGGGAAAACTATGTGTTGAAACTAAAATTTAACCACACTGTCTCTTAGAACAGCATTATACATCCATTTGATTTTTCAGTTTTGGTGAGAATCTGTAAATTTTATGTTTGATTAGTCTAATAAGTAAATAAATGGCAAATTTTTTGTGTAAACTATTCTCAGTGCACTTCCTACTTTTCTTACTGATAAACCATCTACTTAGTATCGTATAGGACACCAGTGAAAAACCTGTGCACAATCAATCATGTCTCAAGTGAGGTAATGAATCACCACTGTACACTGTTTGAAATATGGATTGTTGGATTTCATCTCAAATTGTTTGGAGTTACGGTGTTTACAACTCATGAGACTTCAAAGCGTATAGGCCTAATCAAGTTTCGGGTACGCATTGTTGTGATGCCATAAACTCTTTACTCTAGCTGCTACCTTGATGTGGCATTAGGGCTTGCTTATCATGGTGACTCTGTCGCGTTATACTGACTAGAATACTCATATGTCTTTTTAGGTCCTAGCATGTTAGTAGGTCAGTTAGAGAATAATAGGAATGAAATCAGAGGACGAAGTCGTATAGTTGATTGTACTGAGATGTGACAGCAGTAGGGTTTTTCCCGCAAACAACTATCATCAGTGTTGACACATTGTCATAACGAAAAGAAGAGGTTAGAGGCTGGTTCGTATGAGCCACAGCTCTCCTTGTTCCACAAATTTCTGTTGCTGACGATAAGCACATCAAATTACAAAGCTAACATATGAATAACTTCTAACGAAAAGGCCGTCTGTGATTAACCTCAAGTAGTTGTTCTATAGGCTCTGAGGTTATACCCTCAGATCGACAAGACCACTCCTGATGTAGTTTTCTTTTCAGGTACCCCAAGTAAAAATATACTTCTTCAGTTTGTGAGATAGGAAAGTAACAACTCTTCACATAACTCTATCAGCAGAAACTATGACAAAATAATTGTTTCTTAATACCGGTTAATAAAATATTTCATTTAATAATTATAGATCAGATTGGTTAGGACAATTGATGCCATTGGTTGGAATGGATTGGACTCATCATAATATAGCTCAATTATACAATAAAATAGCTAATAATGGATATAAATTTATTTATTTATCTTCTCGTCCTATTGGTCAAGCTAGAGCAACAAGGAAATTTCTTTATACCATTCAACAAGATAATTATCGTCTACCAGATGGTCCAATACTTTTATCACCATTTTCTGTTCTCGAAGCATTCCGCAAGTAAGTAATCGAATTTATCGTATGCATTTTCAAATATGCGTATATAGATTTTCAAACTAAGACGTAGGCTCAGTTTATGAAGCCATTGACTGTCGAGTTAACCCTATGCAGTTGGGTGCAGATTATCTAATTGGGTTCCTGACGATTATCATAGCCAATGTTTAGTGATGTTGGGTGACATGGTTTGGAGTTGGTCACAATTACATAAATGCATTCATTCTCTTACATCTTGAGTCTTAAAATTCGTCATCTTGTTTTTTTTATTCCACCAATTCATTCCTCTCAAATCATATTGTTTACAGCAAAAATTTTCTACTGACAACAATACTGTTACTACTTCTACTACACTTGTATTTGTCTTGATAATTTAATGTCACTGTGCCAAATGTGGTGTGGCAATTTGAACAGATACATATATGTTCCCGATTCTGTTTTCCGTATGTCAGGCTGATTGGTAGGTTGTTTGTTGTAAGATTTCAAAGTTTTTCAGTATGCTGTCTCAGTTTATAAATAAAAGTTAACTAACATATACCACATGTATTAGTCAATACAAAGTATGATATACTCGTGGATGCGCACTGCTGAGGAGTCCCATACTAGGACGAAACGGCGGTCCAGTGCTTCCAGGTTTTCCATGATGGTCTAGCTTCAACTGACTCATGATTTCAATCTGTGAAATTTCTATTAATAAACATTGTTTTTATAATTGTTTTCAGAGAAGTAATTGCAAAACGAGCAGATGAATATAAAATTGAATGTCTTCGTGAAGTATGCAATTTATTTATTGGTGATAAACTTAATCATCAAAATGAAGATGAAGAAGATAGTATTCCATTTATAGCTGGATTTGGAAATCGACCAACAGATATAGCAACTTATAAAGCAATTGGTTTACATGATCATCAAATATATACAGTTGATTATTTAGGTAATGTAATATGTGGTGATCCAGGTGAAAATGAAAAAGATAAGAAATTAAAGAAAAAGAATAAAACTTCTCATGTTAATTCTAATCAACAATTAAATAATGAGAATAAATCTACTTCTAGTGTTACAACTACTTCAGAAACAATTATCATATCATCAACAATATCTTCTGATAGTTTAATTAATACTACTGCTACTACTACTACTACTACTACTACTAATAATAATAATAATAATAATAATAATAATAATAATAATACAGGACTAACTACTACAACAGTATACGCTAATAGTGTATTAGCTAAACTTAATTTAGATTCATTATTACAAATGGTTGATGTATACTTTCCACAAATGAATGATCGACTTATGTATGCTACAAATTATTCAGATTATACATATTGGAGAATGTAAAGAAGAATTAATCAGACAATTTTTGGATTGTTTATTTTGTTATCAATATTACTATTATTATTATTATCTTCTACGATGATTGCAAATCCGAAGCGTTTCCACTTTGATCCAAATTTAAAAGCATTTATCATGTAGATATTTCTGTCGAAAACAACAATAATGATTATTATTATTATTATTATTATGTCATTAATCATTGGCACTTCCCCACTCTCTCCCTCCCCCCCTTCCCTGATGTATCCATTTTATAAGACATTGTGAACGGATTCCAGCTACTATTCATCTCAATCAATATTAGTTGATGTATGTGCAATTTCTTTAAAGACTAGGTTTTCTTTTTGGTTTTTAAAAATAAAGAGAAAACAGGAAATTTTTATACAAAAAACTTTTTGTTCAAGAAGAGTATTATTACTATTATTAGTAGTAGTAATGTTATTTTGAGTCTTGAAATTATAATATGATTATTGTGTGTTATGAATAAATGTTTGACATATTCATTTGTTATGTTAATTACATTTCTCAGTCCTACAGGAGGTCAGTCGCTGCTCGGATAGCTCAGTGGTAACGTCTCTGATTGTGAGGCTGGGTGACACGGGATCGAATCCGCCAGGGGAGTACCAGTTCCCTCAAGATTACAGGTACACCTTGCTGACCAGTGCCAAGTAACACGAAACCCGGGTCCAGGGTTTCCTGTCGACTACCTCCAACCACCACCTAACGTACTGATTTGTTTATTTAGGTGAATGAATTTTTTATTGATGATTACCACCGGGTGACTTTCTTCTTTTCTTGATCTGAATTTTAGAGTAAATCTATATATATATAGACCATATTTGAGATGTTTACAGGGTTAATAAGAGAAAAAAAGAATGAGAATAGCTGTTATGTGGGATTTAGGATTATTGTTAATCTTCAAAACAGATGAATCTGATGTTTGATAGGTCATTTTGAGGATAGGAAGCTTGAAAGTTTACTATTCACCTGTAACACTAGTAATAGGTGGTTATGTATTATGATGGACTGGCTGTAATTATAGGAGCAGTGGTGTGCGAAATAACCCGAGTACTGATTATTCCACCTAGATTGGGCCTATATAGGATCAATGATCTTCTATCAGTCAATCACTAAATAACGGTGAAACAAAAGCCAAGATCAATCCTTAACACCTTTTGATCCAGAATGCAATTCTCTCATGTTTGCTTATCGGGTAGCCAGATTAGAACGCTAAAAAAGCAAGTAGATAGCTTCTATTTGTACAGATCAATTTTAGGACTCAACTCACAATAATAACAGAGTAAACTGTTGACCATACACTAATATGAATATAAATTACAATATATTCATAACTACACGTATAAGTGAAAGAAACAGTTCCATCCGTAATTAGGAATAACTTGAGAAAGGTAAAACATAACAATAGTTTGTGTCTAACAAAGGCTTACAAATAGTAGAGAAGTAAAACGATTCAATAATCGAAGTATTTAGTAGCTATACAATAAAAATCGGAAAAACTTTTCGGTAGAACCTTACGAAACATTCATCCATGATCAATATTTGTCCCATTATAGCAACAGCAAATCACCTGTTTAATCAGTTATTTTCTAATTGATCATAAGAGGATCCAAGGTTTTATCAACTATCTAGAGTGGTGTTTGAAAGGTAGCGGTATTGAAACCTACCTGAAAACACTACAGTTGTTAGATCTTATGAAGTGTTTTATAATTCAGTTCGAAGAAGTATTTGATAACCCTGTGTTCATTAGACTGGTTGACTTAATTAGATCATAGGTCTTATTGATGTTTTCTAGAAGGAAAATTAAAATTTCTTAATTAAACTATTCAGATCAGAAAATTTAATATCATTGCAATGTTAAGCAAACTTCTTATGATCGAACTTCATCGATTTACATATTCAGATGACAATTTACTAAAATACGTTACAAAAATTTATCTCTATGAATTATGAACTCAGTTAACGATGTGATAAAATCAATACATAGCTGTTACCTATGTAAAGTTCCTTTAAAGAGGAAGCCGGAAATAACAATATTTCTGAGGTGAAACAAACTACATAGGCTGCTTGTTTATCTTTATAATTAAGGAACTACTGAAATAGAGCAACATCTACATTTATTTATTCATTTATAAAGTTAAAAAAATGTTTATTTTGAAGAGAGAGAAAGATAAATCAACATGAAAACTTAATGATGGTTCATAGTCATTGAGCAATGACTTCATAGATATTAGTTATTCTCTTCTTCTTTTATCATACATTGACAATTTATTGAATATTAAATTCACTTCGTGTTGTTATTTACTTGAATCTTCTCATTGATGTTTAGAAGTATAATTGATCAGTGTCTTGTTACCATATATGTATCATGTACAGCTTGCCTAGATATTGTGTCAAGTCACTAGCATTATAAATTTGGATGTAATGGAATCTAGGATGCGGGTTTCGTCCTCTTTCAGGGTTTATTGGTTACCGGAGCTCAGTAGTTAAGTAGTTGGCACGATGGTGTTTGTAGCAGACAGCAATGAATGCGTGCACATCCAGCTGACGTGTCCTAAATGTGAAGAGACGCGGTGTTCAAGTACTGAACTCCTAATGGCCTTCATCTCGACCTTGTAGAATCAAACTGGAGTATGACAAAGCATGATTATCTTAATATTGCAAGTGATCTTAGATTAATTGCTCTCAGTATTACTCAGTAAGTTGTTGAAACTGTTAATAGTTATTAAACATTATAGTCAGAATGGGTTTTGTGGAGAGTTTTTAGAAATTTCACAGGTTTTAAACACTACTGTTTACATTAAAATAAAATGTAAACACTTTGTAATAAAGTTTATCTAAGAAATCATAATCAGCAGGTGGTTATATTCACTTGTTGTTCATTTGCATCAGTCTCTTGTTGGAATATGTGAATCCTGCCTTGATATTGCCTGTAGTCACAAGTTTTATAAGCAAATAGGGATAGCACGAAACGCGTGTCCTGCATTCCACTGCTAGCTACTATTCATCTTTGTTTATAAAGTAGGTTGTATTTTTCTCTAAATTGAATGAGTTATCTGTAAAGCACTCGTCACTTTTTTACACAGTGTAACTAACGCAAGCTGTAAGTTGAAAATAAAGGTTTTACATCGGATTCCCATGGTTTGTTGAATAGAGAACGAACAATTTGAAATGGTTTATATGAGATCGTAAGTGATAGTTATAATTAAACCGCCTTGTCACTTAATCAGGTATGAATTAGCTCAATGTGTGAGAAAGTTGATGGGTCTGTAAACATATAACGTTAAGTAATATATGAATACATTTCACCTTTACAACAAATATCTACATTTCTACTGACTGCACACTGACGTGAATGTCAGATTTTTAGGAATCCGTTAATATTCTTAAAGTTTAAAATTTCTGTAAGATTAGTGTTGTATTAAGGCTTAACTAATCATGTTATATGAACAGAAACAAGCGTCATTTATATTCCATTTTAATGAATTGATAGAAAGCCATCGGTTTCGAAAGATTTGAAAAAAGTATGCGTTTGAAAAGATGCTGTTTCTTGTCAGTCATAAGAAACAAACAATCTGGCACATATATGCATCAATTCAAATCGCCATACCACATACATATGCACAATGAGATGAAATTTTCAAGACAAATACCAGCGTTGTAGAAGTAGTAACAGTATTATTTATAGTGCAAGAGATTAGGTATAGACAATATAACTTTATAAGAAAAAATGAATTGGTTAAATAAGAATCAAAACGTTGATTTTGAGGCTGAAGACCTAAAGGAAAACGAAGTGTATGCATTTGCTCCATTCTAACCCATTTCGAACAATGTCACTCTATATCACCAACTATTAGTTACAAAAACCACACGGATCCCAACCTACCTACATCAGGTCATTTCAATGGTCAATGGCTTCATAGACTGATGCTATGTTTTAGTTATTGTCAATTACTTTTGTCTCACTTTATAAAAATTTGCTAACGTTTAATATCATCTCCATTTCACTCTCATTTTTTCCAAACTCAGTTAAAGATCTTTATTCACTCTTATTGTTCCAATGAAACTACGATTTTACATTTTAATTTACCAGAAGGGGTTTTGTGGAGATTTTAGTCATTTCAATAGTTGAAACCATGAGTCAATTGAAGCTAGACCACTATGGTCTGTTGCGAGATATCAACTCACTGAAGACAATGGTGGATGTGTCGCTAAATTTCGTGGATTAGTTAAAATGAGACATTAACACCGTTGAATGCCGGGCGACTCAATGGTGTAGAGGTTAAGCGTTCGCGCACGAGACCGTTATGTCCTGGGTTCAAGTGTCTCGGGAGGCGGGATCGTGAATGCGCACTGCTGAAAAGTCCCACAACAGGATGAAACGGCCGTCCAGTGCTTCCAGGTTTTCCATAGTGATCTAGCTTCAATTGATTCATGATTTCAACTATTGGAATTTCAATTTACTACAAATTTCCATTTTTTTCTTATAACTAATAATGTTATCTATATGATTCATAAGTCTAATATCATATGAGATACATATAAATTTCATTAATAATTCTGACAGTATCAAATAGAAATACACCTACATACGTGTTGTCA